TAACAAACCTACATTAATTTTTTCAAATACTGATAATTACAATGGGTGGGAGGAAGTACTAGACATTATACTCATTAATACTAGATCTAAAAAAATCTGTTAGGTGGAGGATATCCAATAAAAGTCTTTCTCAGACCACAATTGGATTCCCTTCGATATTATATTACAAAACTCGACAGAAAAAATGCTCTACAGGAACCCTAGCAGAACCGATTGGTTCAAGTATAAAGGGATCCTCAGAGTTAAGTTAAGACAATACCCGGAGTTGATGATTCAATCGCTGGTCTTGAAAAGATAGAGGAAAATATTAGCAAAGTTTTAAGCAAAGCTTTCGAAGCAAAGAATAGCTTCCCTCCATGATGGAATTCGGAGCTATCTAAGCTATGTAGAGAAATACGTAGAGCCTTTAACACATACTACAATAATAAAAAACGTATAAGAAAGCTATAGCAGTCATGAAAAGAAGAAGCTTCTGCGAATTTATAGACAACACAATGGTCACCGCTAGACTTAGCAACATTTTGGCTAAAGACGAATCGAATCCAACCTATATTAAAATGACGACACTTGGTCGGAATCATCAGCAGAATTCCTTGATATCCTACTAAATACTCATTTTTCGGGCTGCAAAGATGCTGTCGCAGAAATTACTACGCAAATAGGACTCCATCGGGTCAATAATGATATCATCTCCCATGACAGGACTTCGTGGGCGATTGATTCCCCCATTGAAACCAACCTTTAATTCAACAAGCTCTTGCAAGATTTTTATGGAACTGGAAAACAGAGGCATAAAAGAATTTGCTTACGTGGACGATGTTGTATATTGGTACAAAGTATGTTTGCCGACATCCTTCGCCAAGGGTATTTATCTTGTCGTGATGCGAGGGCTTAAGTACACATCATGACTATAGCTTACTGTGACTAATGCTTCGGTATCCAGCCACTGGAAGTTATGGTTTCAAAGAAGTGTACAACTAAAGGTTACTCATCTTGTCAAGATAGTGAGTGTGGTATGTGTCTGTCAATCCTAATTCCTTCTATCATGACATAGATGATACGCGATGTTATTCGATTGGGCTCTTTGAGCAGTAAGGGCTTTACCGTTGGACAGAGCGTTATACTTTTAAGGTCAAGATGAGTGGTAGCGGTGCCGAAGGCCTGGATGGCTAGCCAGTGCATAAAGAGGCTAGTTGCTAACAGCTCCCCTCAGCGTCATGGTAAAGCGCTGTTGTAACGTAGTTGCCTAGTCCACGTACGCCGTCACTGCGTGGATCGTCCGTCTGTACGTGCATACTCGTGGGATTCAGAATAGAAGAACCAAATATAAAAACAAAAAAGGAAGAGAGTAGGGACACGACGGAAGGGGTGGTCGACCTGTTAGGGAGAGACAATCCGGACGTCACGGTCAACGAGGATAATGGGGAGTTGGACAGTACATGGGAGGACGGTGACGTTACCCTTACTGACCTCCATGCCAGAATTGTTGAGCATGAAGATCAGGTACTGAGAAGCCAAGCGCCCCTTCACGAGATATTAATGATACAGGCCGAACGAAGGAGGAAAAGGCTAGGAACCAGACTTTGAGGTCTGTTGCCTTTCTGTCTAAAAAGTCAAAGGCTGATTCTTCAAAGTTCTCGTCAAAGGAGATGCTCCTGCTTAGAAGGCACCGACAAAGCGTCGCTAAATTCGAGAGAATATACGGCCCCGTTGGTGACGTTCTGGGTTGGTCCACTCCCTGGAGACAACAGGTGGATGCTGCCATTAAACCGGCTAACACTCAAAAGAGTGATGGGTCGATAGCATCATCAACCTGCAGTCTGCAAAAGGCAAAGAGGGGTTTATCCCGAAAACCAATGCGCTCATGTCTTCGGAGCGAGCTGCGGAGGTCTTCCACCCAAAAACCCTAGCAAGGTGGACACGACACCAGGAAAGGTAAAGAGGACTGGTGAACTTCCGGCCTGCCCACCTACTGACCTCCGCAAGAACGTCAGTAAGGGAAAAGGCTCCGGTAGTGACCGACCCTCCAAAACCAGTGGTGTCAAAGTCACCTAGCACAACGAAGAGGTCTGGTCCATCCCCGGCTGGCGCTCCTAAAGGTCCCCGTAAGGAGAAAATTAAGAGAGACAGATCTGGGGATGATAAACCCTTTTCATCCAGAAAGAAGGTGAAGAAGTCAACCAGCCTTGATGTATGCCTTCAAGTGGCAGTCATTGATCGGAATGACCCTGATGGGAGGATCAGTACCGATTTCTGGCAATCAATTGAAGGTAGGCTGATTGATAAAATCGCCATCTTTGAGGGTGGGTCGGAGGATGTATCCTTCAATGGTGCAGACTGGGTTAAGGCCAAACAGAATGGTAGTCTTCTTACATACCAATGGAGACATGTGAACTCTCTGGTATGTAAGGAGAATACTGGCAAGGACTTTCGATTCGCTGTGGATCGTAAGTCCTTAGAAGTCCTAGGTGAGATGGGGGTTGCTAAGTTTGGTCTTGGCACTGTCAGGTTCCGGTACCCGAAACATGACAGAACCAAAGAAGTTGCTAGTGGTGCAGATAAACCGTTGCCAATGGGGCAGCAAGGACATCAACAAAAGAGGTGAGTTAATGTTTGATTTTATAACTGATTATAATCTCATCATCTGTAACAAGGGCGATACGCCGATGTTCAGGAACAAGGATAGGTAGGCAGTTATAGATTTAACTTTAATTAACCGTTTAGAAGATCTCGTTAGAGATTGGAAGGTTGCAACGGATTGTTCATTTTCGGACCATAGTCGCATTACCTTCACACTGGATTTTGTCTTGGCTAGGAGTCCACCTTTTAGGGATCCTAGGAAAACAAATTGGGGAAACTTTAATGATAGGGTAGAGTCTGTGTTGGCACAACGAGCCTTGTGCGATTTGTTGCCAACTAAGGGAAGCTATGAGCTAGCCTGTCCGGTTACTTTCCCGGGCAAAATAGAGCAACCTAAATGGCGGACCAAGGAACTTAGATTTCAAAGGTCGACTGTTAGGAAATTGTTCGATAGGGCCAAGCTTACAGGTCAAGCAATTGACTGGAACAATTATAAAATGTGTTTCAATAAGTATAAAGCTGATCTCAAAAGGGCTAAAAGGATTTCATTGTTCCAGTACTGTGAATCCATAGACAATGTCAACGAGTTATCAAGATTCCGACGGATATTATCTAAGGACCCAAGTGTCATAGGGTATATCCGAAGGATTTCATTGTCCCAGTACTGTGAATCCATAGACAATGTCAACGAGTTATCAAGATTCCGACGGATATTATCTAAGGACCCAAGGGTCATAGGGTACATCCGAAGGAGTGATAACTCTGTGACCCTAGCTCTGCTAATGGAAACACATTTTCCGGGTTGTCTTGCAACTGAAGATGTGGTTGACGACCAACTGCACTTCGAGTCTGTGGCGCCAAGTATCACCTACAGTTGCATAGAGGAGATAGTCACTAGGGAAAAGCTAGTATGTTCGGATAATTCATTCGACCCCTTCAAGTCACCTGGGCCGGATGGCATATTTCCAACTCTACTAAAGAACTTGCCTCAGGACGTTATATCTCTTCTGCTGGAGATTTTTATGAGATGCCTTGGTTGTAGGTATTTAACAAAGAGGAGGGAGGGAGGGTTATTTTCATACCCAAGGCCGCTAAGGCAAGCCACTCAAAGCCAAAGGATTTTAGACCTATCAGCATGGCTTCTTTTCTTTTGAAGACACTTGAGAGACCGATAGATCTAGATCTAAGGAACAATATTGATACTCTAACTAACTTTTTGATACTTCTAACTGGACACTGCTTAGTTAGAACCTTTGTCAGTAAGTGGGACAGTAGTACACCGGACTATTGCAGGTTATGCGAGGATGAGGAGGAAGTAGAGACGATCGAGCATATTATTTGCCAATGTCCTAGGATACAGAACCTCACGCTGAAATGGCTAGGGAATAGGTTCCATAGCGAATTGCGGGACTTAACCCTCGCAGTCTACTAGGTTTTGTCAAGGGAATTAGTCACTTCTTTGACTGGGCTACGGTGTTGGTTATGGTGTCTTCTGTGTAGAAGCTGGGATAAGTATCTGTCATCGTCTTCCCAACAACTGTAGTGTTTTACAGTCTGAAATATTTGCGATGTCAGCCTGTAGGGTACTATACGATCGTAATATTCGTGGCACTTCTTTTTCTAAACTCATACACTACTACTTTCCTATTAGTCAGACAATGTAAGAATAATCAGTCAAGGCAAGGTCACCTGTCATAGGGACTATTATGGAAATGAACAGACTGGTGAGCGTGCCAGAACGGGATCTGCTCTTGTTATGTCCAACGCCATTTCAGTAGCAACTCCGTTAGGTTTTATCAAAAGCTGATGGAATAACCTAGACTGTAGGTTCAATCAACGAAAAGGTACCAATATGTTCCTTTTTATAGGTTCTCACTTACACCGGGCTCTGCATACTTAATTTCACGGTTCTACGTTCAATATTATAGAAAGCTATCTATACCCAGTGTGCTTTGCTACCCTATAGTCAATATAAATAAAAACCTCACTTTTGAAGATTCTAGCTCTGTTTCCCAGATATACATAGAATTATCCACTGTGAGCCGCTCTAATGTCACATGTCTCAATGAAATTTAATTTGTATAATAAAACAAAGTTTTTTAATATATCCAAAAAAAATACATTACATGAGATTTTCTTACTTTGGTAAAATTAGAAAAGTGTTCAATTAAATAGTATTTCGTATTATAAACGAAATTTTTGTAAATATTACGAAAGAAGTAGCTACTTTTTTGGTAAAGGCATGAAATATTATGATATATGTATGTTGATTAAAAGCAAAAAAAAAAAAAAAAAACATTTTACAGTAATATATTTTTTAATTTAAGTTCAACATTAATTTTATTAAGAAAAACTACTTATGTATGTATTATAAACATTCATAAATATTATTTATATGTATGTATATGTTTCTTATATTAGATTTACACTACAATAAAATTTAAACTTTAAATTGTCTGATTCAAACTCCGATAGAAAATGTTGTATTTTACTTTGAAACAGATTCTTTATTTGCAATTATATTAAACATAATTTTATATTTAAATCTTTTTAAAAAAATTCATTACATACATTCATAATTAAAAATAACATTGACCAACAAAACTTGAAAAATGTCGAATTTCAAAGACCAAAGTATACATTTCTAAAGCATTCGGGAGTGCTGAATCCGATTCTGATGTCTCTATCACTTCTGGTTTTTAAGATATCGTGTAGTTTTTGACAATTTTTTTTGTTAATAAAATCTATTATGTCATCATTTGGTTTCATTTGTTGGCCTGTGTAATTGAATCGTAATGTTGGCTCATATCTGTATAAATGCGCCTTAAAATATCTAGACCGATATGAACCATATTTTGTTTTATAGAAATAGCAAAAAAATCTTTTATGTAATAGTTACACATAAAAGTGAAATATAAGATTTTTTCTAAAAGTATAAAGGGTGGTGCAATTCAAAGTATATTTTAAAATTAAGCTTTAAAATTTTAATTTATTACCAGAAAAAAAAGAAAATTTTGGTCAATGTTGAATAATATTGCAATATTATTTCCAAGTCAGTGCTGGGAAGTTTTTAAAGAAGATACAAAGCATCGACCAAAACTCACGTTACAGTGCAAAACTTCATCATTGTGTGTGTACTTAATGGCTTTTTATCCATTCGCAAACCAGAACCCTAAACCACCAACAATAAAATGGAAAATTGAAGTGACAAAACACTCACAGTTCTCACCTTGTCTGAGCAGCCACATGAAGGAAATAGTATTCCATATTTGTTCTTCAAAAAATGTTATAATTTAGTTAAGTGTGTTTTATTTAATTCTTTATAAGGAAACTTATATTTGGACCACCCTTTATATGAGCGTGAAATATTAAATACCGTCCATAAACATTCAATATTTCATACGTTTGGAAACATATATTTAATTTTTATTTTATTCCAAAATAGTCTCTTTTTTCACCCTCTTCGCCTGAACAGCAACAGCTGGTGCTGGTATATAACCCTTGTGAAGTTTACGATGTGCCCGCAATCCAGCACCTTGGGCAAACTCTTTTCCACAAAAGTGACATTTATAATGTTTTTTGTCTTCATGTATTAATTTGTGATTATTTAGATATCTCGTTGCGGTGAATCCTTTACCGCATATATTACATAAAATATCACGCACATTAAGATGTGATTTAACGTGATCGTTTAGCGTATGTAAGTGATTAAAGCCCATTTTACAAATGTGACATTCGTAGCGAAAACGATTCTCATGCCGACGAATATGGTTGTCATGATCACGACTGGTACGAAAACCAGCACCACAAATTTGACAAAGAAATGGTTTTTCACCTGTATGATAAATTAAATGTCGATCCAATTCTGATTTTTTAGGATAACCTTTACCACATAAATCACAACGAAAACTATTCTCGCTGAGGTGACGCTTAACATGCGATACACAAGTATCAAACTTTTTGAAAGGCAATTCACATAAGGGGCATTTAAATGGTCTAGTATTAGTATGCTCTGACACATGTATATGATAGTTTTCATATTTTTTGATAATTTCATTACAATGAGGACACATAAATGGTCCCTGGCAATCGCTAAGAAATGTCAGATCATTGTAGTATTTGGAGTTGGCTGTAAACTCTGATTTCTCCAGTTCGCATTTTAATTGTTGTTCCTTATCTTTGGAGTACAAACGGTTAATGAATTGTATGTGATTTCTTAAGCGCTCAAATGTTAAATCAATATTCCAATTTAATTTCAGCTCTTCTTGCATCTTGGTAAATATTTCATCTCGTCTTGAGGTGATACCAAAAAATACACTATTAACCTGCCACAAGTCTTCGTATTTTTTGTAAAGCTCTATAATAACCGGTAAATGTGCTTCCTTAATGTTTTTCTAAATTAAAAAGTTTAAGAAAAAAGTTAACATAAGTAAATTGCAATTTAATTGGGAAATTATTATAATAATGATATTTGTGAGTTATGATTGGATGAGAAAAGGCTCCACTATCTAAATCTTATTTTAAATGTCATAAAAATTTAATAATTGAATAATTGTATATGAAAAAATAATGAACACTTTTCTTTATCAGATGAATTGCAATGTATAAATTTCTTATAAATGTGAGCGCCTAAAACTATACTTTAAAATATTGAATTTAAAATTATATGAAATGTTGCCATATACATTCTTAGAGTTTTTTTAATCTAAAAATATTTAGTTCTTTGCATAAACAAGTACATATTATTCAATTATTAAAAGACTCAAATAAACTTAACTTATTGAATTATTATTAATTTTGTAAATTAAATATCCTAAAATATCCCTAAATTCTTCCACTATATTTTCCCATCTTCATAATTGTAAACAAAGCAAAAATATTAAAATATTTGTTTATTTATACTTACAAAACGTTTCTTTTTTATCTGAAAATAAATTGTAATTAGCAATTAGCAAGAAATTCTCTGAAAGCATTTATAAATTTAACTTACCCTGTCTTTTGTTAAAGATTGAATATTTTGTTGCAAATATTTTATATGATCAATATACCAGGGCAATTTAAAGTCTTCACCATTATGCTGTTTTTCAATTTGATAGGAATACTCAAAACGCATATTGTTTATGCGATTTTTGGCAAATTCCCAAGTAATATTTGTAGATAATTGTTCGTTAATTTCATTTGTTATTTCTTCGTAACCTTTCTGGCATTTAGCTTCATCTTTCGATTTTTCTTTTAGATCCCACAGATAAGGTTTTTTCTCAAAAGCTTGCAATAAAGCGATATTCAAATCTTTTTCCTCAGAGTCTTCAGCCAATTCGGGTAAGATTCTATTTGATTTGTGGCGTTTAAGTTTGAGTTTTATTTTACGACGTTTTCTTAACTTTTTGGGCTCTTCTTTGGACTGTGGATAAAATGAAGTACAGAGTTAAGTATAGTATTACACAATTCGAATAATTAATTGTTCTTTTCTGTATATCTAATGAAAATACTGTAATCTACTAAATTTATCAATTACCTCAGAATCATTATCATTAGATTCATCGACTCTTTCCTCGCATGATGATGAACTGTCATCCTGTAAATAAAATTGCATATATTTATTATTTTTTAAATATAAGTTTCTCAACAAATACTTACATCCTTAAATGGTTTGTAATCCTCATCATTGTCATCCGAATCATTATCAAACATATCCTCCATTTTAATATTCGTTGCATTATCATCACAATCCCCCACCTCTTCGTCTTTAACCTGTACCCCAGAGTATTCATTATTATCTGATGTCCTGCTAATACTTGCAGCTTCTGTTTCTAAGGGATCTTCTTTGACAATTTCTGCCAGCAATGTTTTATCTTCAATTTCTGGTATTTTACTTTCAATAGGTGTTTCAATTTTAATTTCTGGTTCATATATCATGGGTAACTCGTTGGATTCCTCTTCGAAGTGTTCTAAATGTAACTCTTCCAGATGCATGGAAAATTTTTTCATTTGATCCCATGATGTCTCACAAAATGTACAATGAAAAGTATAGGTTTTCGATTTTTTATTTTTCTTTTTTAAGTTTATAAGTATTTCACCACACTTTTTAAGATTCGATTTGTTATCTGCACCCATTTTAAGAAGTTTTTTAACGTTACTCCTTTAGTTTAATGTGTAGATTATATGTATTTCTTTTATTATTGAAAAGAAAGTTGTTTTGTTTGTTGGTTTAGAAAAAAATTTTGTTTATAATAACGTGTCATATGTTCAGTGTAGGTTACAGCTGTTAGTATAGTATGTTCATAGTTTTCACTATCAGTGTTGTCAATAAATAGCTTTTGTAGCTTAAGTTATTTTATTTAAGTTTATTCAAATTCATTGTTTTTTACAAAATATATACTTCAAAAGTTTTTATATGTAACTGCGTTATACATTTTTGGGAACAAGTCAGTTCCCAACACAATCAGTGCGTAAGACGAAATTCGTCGTACGTAACGAACTGTGGGATATGTTTATTTCTATTTCATACGCTGACGAACGACGAATAAATTATTTTAAATGACCGTTTTAATTTATTTTTTTATATAAAGTAAATTTTTGTATTGGCAAACGTTTTCTTGTACATTTATTGGTATATAAATTAAATGTACCTATACTATTCTTAATAATACAATTATCTTTTAATGTTAAAATTCTGAAATACTTTTATTTTCAATTAAAAAATTTGGTTATTTAATATGGTCACCCCAACCAGTATGTAAACAAAAATTATGTACATATTTGCAATAATAAATTTGGTCAATAATTATTGGCTTTAGATTACAAATAAATTAATTTATTTGTAATCTAAAGCCAAAAAAAGTGAAATTTCCTGCAGAAAATGCACTTAAAAAAAGAAAAGCAGAGAATTGGAAGCAAGATTCGCAGTGCGTTTTATTGTGCTCCAATCGACGAATTTACGCTTATCCGCTCGTTTTTCGTCCGAATTGTTCGTATGCCATGAAAAATATAATTTTTTTTCGGACATGCCTACTTTCGAGTGGGCGGGGCTCCAAAGTTTTATACATTTTTGACAATATCTCGAAAACTGTTTTCTTTAGAATAAAAATATATAATATGGAGCGACTTTGGGTTTTCCCGAAAAAATATATATGTATTTCGACCCAACTTTTTTTCATCTAAAATAATTTAGAAAAAATTTCTATATAATTATATTTCAAATTTTTATATTTTAATAGCCAATTAAACTTTTATTAAAGATAGGTATAAACCATTTCTGCATCTAATCAAATGAAAGAGATGTTTGATTTCAAAAACCATTTATCATATAAATATCAAACTGAAAATGTATATGTTTAGTAAGCTTAAAGATTTACTAAATAGACGACCTAAGGTCGGGTTTTCTCCTCTATGGTATATATCGGTCCAAACCAATGTATATTTTGCGAGAAATTTTGAACTTTACAGTTTAAAAGCGTGGCCAACAAAAAATGTTTACGTCATTTCACTCACAATCGAACTATCTATGAGAGTTCCATTTCTGTGAAATGTTATAAGTTGGCATCAAATAAAACAAAAATGGTACTTTTAGCGAATCCTTGTAATTTAGAGTTTATTTTAACTATTTTAGAAATTTTTCAAAGAAAAATACCAATTTCCGAAAATCTTTATGAAAACAAAGAAGCCTTTCATGTTTCGGCCAGTTTGACCAACAAAAACCAATTTGAATTTAGTTGAAAATGTTAGAACTTACTATTTTTTAATGTAACTTACGCCCTTTTGGGTTTCAGAAAAAACAAATTCACAAGGGCGTAAGTTTCATATCTCCGTAAGTAAAACAAAAACCGCAAATTTTACTTCAAATAATAATTTGTCAATAAGAAATAAGCTTAACTTGAGAAAATGTTGAACATTTTTGGTTTATTTATCATTTTAGGCGGTTTTTTGCTTCTCCTGAAAAATTTGTTCAATGTAACTTAGGGCTTTTTGGATTTCATATGACGATATATATCATTATCACGATAGTAAATGGTATAAGAAGCGTCAGAATTTATAAAACATAAAGAATTGAAACATTTTTTTTTTATTATATATTTTTCATAAAAATTTAGTATCGTAAGTATCATGAATTTAAGACCAAAAAATACCGTCCTAAAACTATTACATACTTATAAATAAAAATATCACTCATTCACTGCAAGACTAGATAACTAAAATTTATTTTTTTAATACTAAATGTTTATCGTTCGCACTTAGAGGAACTAGCCTCTACTATCTAATTCTAGGTTAATTTCTCAAATTCCATAGTTAGCTCAAACGTTACTTAAAAAATGATAAAACGTTACAAAACATTCAAAGCCGTTTTCCTCGAAAGGATATTTTTATGCTATGCCAATATTGTAGTAAATAAGTGATATTCGTGTGTAATTGAATAAAGTTGCTTAAAATCGAAACTAAAATTTAATCTTAAAAATTTCTAAAAAGTTTTTAAGTAGTGCTAGTAGAATTCGTTTCAAAATTTTCCGTTTTTAGCTGAAGTCCATTTGGTATCAAAGAAGGAGGTATGTTAAGTGTCTGAGTAATAAAAACAAATCATTAGCAAATAAAATGTAAGATTCTATATAATATTGCATTACCTTTCCTGGACAGGATGCTTCATACTGATGCTTTAAACTTTCCATTTCATAGATACATGTTGATAAAGCAGTGCGTAGTTCACATAGTAAAACCATGTCCGATCTTAATTCGTTAAAAGCATTACAAATTTCTTCCGAAGGAGGAGGTGTAGGATCTAAAAAGAAAATAGTAAATGTAATATTTTGATTTTAAAAGAAAATTTTCGGAATCTTTAAACTCGACTTACCAACTTTAAATTCTTGTATGGCTTGTTCTAGGGCCTTAACTTTACGTTGTCCTATATTGGCTGGTAATTTCATTTTTTGGGATCTTAACGATACACCAGTACCACGCAAGTCGGAAAATTTAATTCCGCTTGTGCCCACCTCAATGGCGTTTACCACGGAATCTACCTTTGAGGGTCTGGGCTGATGATGCAATTTTTTCTTGTGCAATTTCTTTTCATACTTTCTAGCATTTTGAGCATTGGCGGAAACATCACCTTGCTGATCAGCTTGTGATATAAGTTTTTGTAAATCTTGTGTTTTACGCTCACGTTCCTTCTTGCGTGCTTCGATTTTTCTCAGTTCATTGATAAGATTTTGTTCTTCTTTTACTTGTTGACTTGTGCGTTCAAAAAGCTTTTTGAGTTGTTCTTTACGACGGCGTTCATGTTCAACATCAAATACAAAAGGTTTCTTGTCACCAACGTTTTGTGTATTATTTCCCTTAACTTTTGACAGCAAGCCGACCACTTCGTAATAGCGTTCTTTTAAATCCTCCACATTTTTAATGCCAAATTGTGAACGATCCCAACGATCGGCCATAATAATGAAGCGTAAGTCGAATCTGTAAATAAGTTACAAAATTATTAGTTTTGTCTATCATTTTATATTAGTTTTGGAATTAATATACCGCTTAGCTAAATCAAATAAATGATCCGTTTGTTCTTTTGACCACTTTTGTGGATTTGTTTGTAAATGTGTATTGTACTCTGCTACACTATAACACGGTATCTCCAATTGTTTGTTAAACTTGGCAAAGGGATATTCTTTGGGTTCATCTGTGATGCGTTTCCAATGATGGAACACAGCACCATCAGTTCTAGCTGGATTACCAAAGGGAGCCCATTCCCATTTTCGCACTTTTTTCATACCTAAACGTGCTTTTGCTTGCTTATAGCCTGAGCCAATACCTAATGCTGTATCAGTCGGCAGTAGGGGAGGAGCATCTTTATTGTCATTATACAGTAAAGCAAATACTTCACGATGCATTCCTTCCGGACGTTTGGAAGCCACTTTTGCCCTGTAAAGAAAAAGTGTAAATATTTTAGTAACCTTACGACAAATAATTCAATTTGGTGTACATACTTTTCAAAGTTTCTTTTTTTGGTCGACAGAAAGGAGTCCCTTGTAATTTCCGGAGTATTAGGACGTTCCATGTCCAAAATATCTCTTACGTCGGTAGTCATTTTATTAAAGTTTTGTATTTTCTACACAAATAGTTAAATTTCTTTACTAATTTCCTTTAAATTATAAATATCAATAAAATTTTATTCCAAATGGTTGTTTATTTTTTCCACATTTGTGTTGTATTCGACACACCTGTGCCGACAAATAAATATTAACGGCGGAGTCTGACACTAAAAAAGTGGGCAGCGGCTTAAAATCGACTGTAAGCCGGCTAGTTTGAACACTTTCGCTAAATTTAAACTTCGAACACTTTATGTTTGTAGCAAACACGAGATACGAAAAATACATTGCTGTTTGACAAACCAGAGTTTCCTAGATCGTCAAACCAATGTATTTTAAATGGGACATCAAACAAAATCTGTTTGAAGGAAAAATTCTGCAATTTTTTGCGCGCAGTTGCATGTTTTCGCGCCAATTTTTGCAAATTCATTATTTGATCTTCTGCCATTTTACACACATTTTGAGTTTGTAGCAAATATAGAACGTAACGTGTTCAGTTTGGAAATTGTTTGATTTTTTTTAAAGTTATAAAATATATATGTACATATAATTTTGGTTTTGGAAATAACATAATTGTTTATTGAAAAAGTATTTAAGTGTAAGGGCACTGGCACACGTTCAATATATATTGATCAATATGGATCAAGACCCATTTTAATATACTGATGAATAACTCGGGTATGCTACACGTTCAATATTTTTTTCTTCAGTATTTGTTATATTTTATGGTATACGAGTCGGCGGATGATTAAACAAATACCGCGAAAATACCGAAATAACAAAAATTTTGAAAAAATTAATTTTCTTTTATATTTTTTAACAATTTTTAAAACAATATTTAATTTTTATTTGCTTTATTTTATTTTTTTTCCAAATTTTAAAAATGTATCGTGATTGATATCACAAAACATGCTACACATTCAATATTTATCACGTGATTCATTATAAATATTGATACGAATTTTGGATTTCAGAAAATTGGCGTTTTCTGTGATATGGAACACGATCCATCAATATTACATGCTACACGTTCAATACATATCACAATACAGCAAATATCACGATATATATTGAACGTGTGACACTGCCCTAAATACTAAAAATATTGATTGATTTGGCCTGTTTGTGAGATCTAGAAGATTAAAAATGTAAGTAATGATGCTAATTAATTATTTGTCTCTAAAGAAGTCTTTCTTTTTAAGAAAGAGGAGGCATCATGATGGTCTCCTGGAAGAATGCCCACAAGAGAGTGGCAATTGTATACCTCCCTAGACACCTAGGCGGGTGGTGGTCGGTCGGCTAGTGGTGACATGGTATATTATCACCTAGAGGCAATGGACGGACGCTGATTGCCGTATCCAGGGGTTACCACAAGGGTACATACATACTTATTATTATACCTTTGATCTCAGCAGAATCACTACCATATACCCATGGTAGTGTCTGTCTGGTGTGCCTTTCAGTGAAGCTCTTGTTGTCTCCAAACACTATGGTGGCCGAATATTTACAAGCAACTATTATTAAGCCTCCTTTTATACAAATTTATCGCACTGTAGAGAATGTCTTCACGGACCTAGAGAAGGGGTAGATGTACCTTTTAAGAAAAAAATCTTTATGGAACAAAGTAGTGGAACAAAATGTAATGTGTCGTGATCGTCGAAGGACATGTGTTACGCGTAAAAAATAATTCATTAAAAAAGTTAGAACTATAGGAAATATTTGATGTTATATTTAACAGATACAAAATGTGCTGCTAGAAACCGAAACCTATATTTATGAAACCTAAAATTATGAGGATCGGTCCGGCAATATAACCTTCTTACAGAAAATCAATTTATAGCTAATACATCATTCCAAAAGTTATCATTATGATAGAATTATTGTAGAATAAAAAAGAAATTACTTTAAATTATGGAGAACTTGGTCCATTATTGACCAATCCCACATTGAAGTGCCTATTCCGAAAATCACGCTGACGTTCATATTAACCTATTGATCAAAGTCCATATACATATGTATATGACCACTTTCGAAATTTTGTTTTTTTACGACATATGATTTGATGGTGCGTATTTAAGATTCGGCATAGCCGAATATAACACTCTTACTTGTTAATTATTATACCCTTCACCTTCGTAAGAAGGATATATGTATATAAGTTTGACATTCCGTTTGAAATTTTTATAATATAATTTTCCAACCCTATAAAGTATATATATTCTGGATCCTTATAGATAGCGGAGTACGTGCATCATTGCCATTATCGTTTAAGGGTAATCAGGCCGTACTTCTTTCGTTGCCTTCGAGAGTTTTGCGTTTCACTCTCGCATTGGTTTAATGTGTGGCATCGCATAACTGTACCGCGTTACGGTTCTTCGAGGTTTCATGCATTAACCATATGCATTCTTTTTGATAACCTGAAAATTTCTTTGATACATGGCGGAGTACCAAACCTAGGCCTCTATCGGGCCTGTTGTACGCTACTTAATCAGTGACTTAGGTGGGAATCGAACCCAACACCTCTGGTCTACCAGACTAGGACACTAACCTACCAGAGGCCACATATTCTAAGCCGGCTATGTTTTCAGTTATTTTTAAATTATCAGCTATTTTAAATAAAACGGAATCCGGGATTCTGAAAGCAAATATTTGAAAAATCGGGATTATCTAACAGTGTAGGAAATTTTTGTATTCGTAATACTATTTTGTTTATTTCTCTCGTTATACAACTCATATTCACGAGAACTATTTTTATTTAAATTCTTTATTTTTACCCTTCACCTTAAAGACCGAACGTTAGGGAACGAGTACGAGTGAATACTTTTTAAATTTTTGATTTTTATTATTATTATTTTTTTTAAGCAGAAATAAAAGTTATTTTTTGACTTTTATTTTTTCGACCAGAAATAAAAGTTGTTTTTTTTTTAATTTTATTTTTTTTTATCAAAAATAAAAGTTATTTTTTATTCCTGCTCGAAAAAATAAAAATCAAAAGATTACTTTTATTTATAATAAAATAAAAGTAAAAAAATAACTTATTTTTGCTCAAAAAATAACACATATTTTATCCTTAAAGGGTTAGGTTCTTATTCAAAAAACGATCTGGACATGTCTGTCTGACTGTCTCTTGAAAGCACGGCAGGACCTAAACGGGAGAAGGTAAAGTGACAATTTCCGTAAATATTGCAGTTTGAAAATGGACAAAATCGGTTTGCATTTGAACATGGCCTCCATATAAGGTCCGCTTAAGAAAATGATTTTACCGTTCATAACAGGCTTAAAAATATTACAGTCAAACTCGCTTAGAAGAAACTCTGTTATAACGAAGTCTCGGTTATTATTCTCAAGTCCCTACATTTTTATAACTATGTTCATACAAAAACATATCTTATAACGAATCCTCGGAAAAACAAACTACTTTTTCAGTCCCTCAAGTACAATTTCATACAATTTTGCTTATTTATAACAAACTTTAAAATTGTGTATTTGTTGAAATCATAACAAACTATTCCGCCTTTTTGGTGCTGTTTTTTTTTTATTAAGAATGTGAAATAAATGTAACGGTTTGTTTTTAGGAATTTGTCACTCTCTGAAATTCGAAATTAGTCCATAATTGACAGAAATCCCCATTAAAGACCCTCAACCAAAAATCTACCTGTTGTTCTTATATTTAGGTTTTAAATGTTACAAATTTGTTATTTTTTTAATCATAAATCCATTTTTTCATTTAATAGCAAAAAGTTCGTGTTCACCAAACTTTGAAACCCGAACAAGGTGCGGGTTCGTCGGACTCTATTTAATAATTTCGATTGTTTTTCCGAGAAATAAAAATATATACTTTTGTAATCACACATACATTTTTTACGAACCTCCCGCAGATTTTATGATGTGTTACTACATCTTATTTGATGATAAATATAAAAACTACAATTTTGCTAAATTTCCCATCCCTGCTATGTGTTAATTTTCAGTAGTGTAAACAATAACATTATGTAAAATACTAGTATTTCGATAGAGCTCTTTCATTAACACACAATGTTAAAATACGGACAGCAGTATATGCGTAGAAATAACGGTTTGTCATATATTTTTAGGGGTTAATTTTGTTTGAAGTGGTTACTTGTGAAAATAAAATCAATACAACTTGTCAGAACGGTTACCGTTAAAAGTCACATTGCGTTAAACAACTATGTGGATTGGAGAAAAAAACCAAAGAAGAAAGAATGATAAAACACTCATGAGTTGAATACTGTTTTGCGTACAAAAGTATGAAATGTTTCATACACAAATCTACCCTGCTGAAAGGGGGTTATACAGTTTAATATAAAATAATTGTGTTTACGGAAAATCAATATTACATTAAATATTTAATATTTTGTTGGTGAAACTACATTAAACAATAAAAAATAATGTGTTAAATAATAATAAAATATGTACAAATTGAAAAATGTAAAAATTAATTAAAAATAATTCGATTTACTTAAATAAATTTAAAAAAAAATCAAATGTATATATAACAATAAAATAAGTATGTAATTTTGTGTAGCATGGAAATTTAATTTTCTAACACTAAAATTGTTACAAATAACAATTTAGAAAATAAAAACAATTTATTAAAAAAGTTTTTATTTCGTTTTTACATAATAATATACATATTTTAATGTAATAAGTGAAAATTTATAAAATTTTTATTTGATGATAATACAACCCTGCTAAATCCGTGTCATCCTTGTTAAAGTATACGAATAATCGTTTTTATTATTTTTTTTTTTTTTTTTTTGTTTTTCATGTGATGGCGAAAAATTAACAGTTTATTCACAACAACAACTACAACTACTGATTACATTCACACCCTTAATCAATGTGAATAAGTTGGAAAATATCAGTAAACCAGGACAACACACACACTAACTAACAAGTACGTACGGCCGAAAAATTTGGTAAAAAACTACAGCAAAAAAAAAACGAATTAAAAATTCTTCAAAAAGAAATCAAGAAATTAGACCTGTATTTAAAAATAGTACTTAAGAATTTAATTAATCAGTTTTATTTAAATGCAAAATGTAAATTTAAAATTTACTTTTTGCCTTGAATTGATAGTAGAAAAAATAAAAATAATAATGTATGTATTCGTGTTACAGTTACATATACTGC